AGCTCGGATAGTCCCAGAGAAATATTGGCCCTGGCTTCTTGCCGTCGCGGAACAGCTTCGCGCTTGCTGTGGAACTATTTACAGAATATTGCGTGTCAGAGCAGTTTCTCAGACCACTAGTTCGTTTTTCAGATTACATTGTTTCCTGCACTTTTGAGACGTCGTGGTGCAAAAAGTAGACGGTTTGGTGAATGACTTGCACTCAGACACTTGATATGGGTTGCTTTAGTGGACATTAAGTGCAGCAGAGGATATGCAGCCTGGTTAGAGGCCAAGTCCGCTTATTTATTATATTTCCAATCTTCATTATTAGTGTATTCCGTGATCGAGATATTGGCAAAATAAACCACACTGGTCTGTTTGTATATTCACTAACCATGCGAATCCTGTTCATCTAATAATCCAGAACATCCTGAGATCTACCAGTGAGATGGTACAACTTTATTGTTTCGAGTTATTATACACCAAATTGTAAGGGGAATTACTACAAATATCCCGCTCCACTATGTTGATAACTGTAATTTTGCGGGTGTATACAGTTATAGAATCAGAAGTGATTCGGCTGTGAACACCTGTTTCGTCTATTCTTATGTCATACAGTTATTGTTCGCGGATAAAATGACCCTTTTCCTTAAAGATTTGTAAGGCCCAGTCACGTTACAATCAAGAAGCGAGCACAGAGAAATCAAATTGTTTTATACTAGCTCGTAAAAACGATACTGGATATTGGATTATTATGGAACGATTAATGAAGTTGGTTGACAATCAATAATTCAACAGATCTAAACAATCAAAGCATAGAATCCTAACTTCCTAGTCATTATTGCCAGCTTTAGAAGGCTTCAAACATGTGACAGAGTGGTATGGAGAATTCACAGACTTGTGTAATCTGGTCATAATTTGGCTGGACTTATTTATCACGTACTGTTGAATTCCGCTTGGAAATTTTTTTGCCAATAATTTTTAATAAAATTGTATTATATGTTATCTAGATTGAGGGAAATTCCCATTTTTTGGCTGGTTATATTGGTGTCCGCCTCATGTGATCTGACTGCGACATACTTTTAGCATAATGGTTGCAATGATTAGTGTTTCAGATGGAATGTATCAAAGTATCGGTGTAATGAGGGAGATAGGATAGTTAGAGGGTAATGCCATTTACACCACTCATTTACTCCGTGTAGAAGCTGCATCTTTCGGCATAGTATCATTCAATGAAGACTTCATGTCTCAGGATATCAATGCAGCCTATTTTCGTGTGAAGAACAGTCTTTTTTGACAAAATAATTCTCTCAATACTTGGAAATCACCTGCAGAATCGTTGGTGGGAACCTAAGTTGTCATTTAGATGTGCTTTTCACTTTATCTGTGGTTGGACAGGAATTATGGTAAGTTGAAAGGTTATCTCTAAATGGATTTCATATATATTGGCACTGGTTGGTGCAGTGTGCTATGGGTTATGTGAATTAAATGTACAAAATTATCTCAACTGTAATAATATTGGGCCATTGTCTACTTAGCTGACTGATAGGATAAAAAACGAAGGTGGTTCTCACGATTATTGCCAGTACGGTGCGGTGGAGAAGGCAATTACTCGTTTAAATTTCCTTGCTGTTCCAATTAATGCACTAAATCATTACACGGTATGATTATACGCATGAGTCGTGTGATTATGAGAACTGAATCTATTCGCCTTTATTATCATTAATATCAATTTATTCTCTTTTACAATTTCCACTGAATGTATACTTAATGCTGCAATATTTTTGATCACCAATAGTGGAGATGAATTTCTCCTGAGATTTCCATTTAGACAAAGCAGTACAGATGCGTTGTGACGATTGAATTTTCTAGTTTGCATTATATGACATTATTATCCACATCAACACAACAGGTCTGTGTACTTTACAATAGTTGAAGTGTTTCACTATGTTGTTAGCACTGTGCATAGCTGTTTAGAGTTGAGGCATGTTCAGCTTATATTTGATGCCTATAGTCTCCTAAATGTGAGAATGTGATTTCTGTAGGATTCACAAAACCTTGTGGACTAGACATTACTGAGATTGTGGATTAATATCTAAGTTATAATTAATTAATTCAGTGTAGTTTGTTTACTTATCAGTCTTATATCTCCCAATGTAATTTCAAAAGTATATATATCCGTGTATGTAGAGTATTCAGCTGACGAGTTCTACTGAAATTTGATGAATTCATTAAATCCTGCTTTATTAACCTTTATTGCTTGTTCTAAGTTATACATTTGCAATACTTCATTTCATGTAAAAGTATTTAGCGTGAAGTTGATCTGCATGCAAGCTTGATGAGAGAATGACGCCTCAATAGTATGGATGTTCCGGAGGTTGTCTTGAAATTTGCGTATAATCCTCAAATACAGGAAAACATGATGTCTATTTATGTATACAGCGTCAACATAAATATCACCTGTAGACTACAGATACATTTATCTGCATGAGATATTACTTAGTGTTAACAGAATCAGTGTATTCACAGTATATGCTAATATGTAGAATTATCTCTTGTTAACTTCATGTTATGCTAGTTCTTACATGTACTTTATTTTTTCCAGGTATACGGAGGTTGTCGAATATGAAATCAGCGGAAATATCATTCGGTCAAACTAACGTTAATATCCTTCATCAGAATTTTCTTTTGTAAATTAATCAAATGTTTAATATACTCTTGACTTGTAATTCCTCTGGACTTTTTCTTCAATTGGTTGCTATACTGTGCTTTTGTAATAAGTGAATTAGGAATAATAAACGCTAAGCTTAGTTAGTGGGATGGAGATTTACTGTAGTATTATGAGACTGTTACTTTAGTCATTAATAGGATTTCGTGTCTGTTTCTACACAATAGCACATTGTAAAAGCTAAGTGGGATTTAGCAAGTTGAATAATAATTCTGTACTGTTCGATACTCTAAAGTTGCCTTATCTAGCCAGTTGCAAGTCTGTATACTGTTAAACGCCAAGTATGTAGTACAAGTAAATGTAGTAACTTAAGCTTGATAGCTACTTCACTAATCTGTTAATATGCAGTGACATCATCAAATAGACTGTTCACTTGACAATGAGCTAAGAAACTATTTTTATTTATTTCTAATATGCCGTTGAATCATAGGATGTTATCTAATATCCATCATTTCTATGATCAACAACTGCGGTATTTTCATATCTACCTTATAGATATTAAATAACCTACACCTGTATGCAACTAATTACCTCCAGTGTTCCCTATTCATTTGGTGTGTGTACGCTAAACAAGTCTTTCATAAATTCTCCCATAAATGCCAAACTTTCTAGTGTTACAAGTGTTAATAAGACCTGCTTCCTTTGTTTCGAATCAAATAACGTATATACGAACTAAGGAAAAGTTACTCTTACTTAATCTTCAACCTTCACTTAGAGCCTTTAACGATCCCAAACAGTTCTCCTATAAACACAGTAGACGTACTTTAGATGCAGCTGCAGTCTTGCTTCACAACATTTCCTCCAGTATAGACAATGGGGCTAAATTCGCTGCATCTTCCTAGATGACACATCTGCTTTCAACTCAGTACCTAGAGATATTCTGTTAGATAAGCTTGCTGAAACCCAAACTGAGTGTTGGATTGTTAGACGGCTTCATTGTTATTTATCAGGGAGAGAGCAGTACACTGTAGGTCAGGGGGAAGTCGTCCATTACCAAGTGCAACTGATGTCAGCTCATGATTAAATCCTCCAAGCAATTGCATTTTTGTTTGACGAACTTAATGCACGAAAGCATACAAAAAGAACTTTTTCAAGCACGCGAACGATCTAACTATTTCAATGTCTGTTAACTGCCAACTACACTGTACTAATATGAATAGTTCTCTATTAGGAGTCAGAAAATGCTCTTAAACTGAATCCTTCGAAATGTCAGACTGTTATTTTCAGTTTCCGATGTAAACGAAAGTTAGATGAAGGTGTTAGATGACAGTGTTTATAGCCACGGAAAAATCACAACTTCGAGGAAATCACCGATCGTAGATTACAACCCGAAATGTCATTCTTCCTAATTAATGTCTTACCTTTAACTGGGATTGTTCGTACACTCACCAGATCATCGTATTTTATCCGCTTTGAAAACCGTTTCGCAACCCATCGAATGGATGTTAACACTGGCTCTATTACGCGCAGTCCTAGTTCATATATTTGGATCTAGTGCATCAAGCAATAATAAGCATAAGTAATACTCACTCTTAAGGATTCCAGGTTCTTTTAGTTCCCCAAAATACACACAAGCACAACAGATTCATACTTTTCATGCGGCTCAACCTTATTTAATTTAGATTCTCTCACAATATATTTTTTTAAATGATAGCAGACACACTGATGGTATATTCAAATTCTCTAAATGCTTCAAAGCTTTTTCAACTTCAACTCAGTTTCTAAATTCTCTAGGTTTAACTTGTTCTTCGAAAACCTTGCTAATATCAACTCTGATGGTGCTCTCTTTATCAGATTCACTCGCAGATATTTGCATGCTGCAAACATGAACGAGAAAGACACTTTTTTCCAGATTTCTACATGTTATGTAAGCAACTGAGCCAACAATAATAACAGCAACCAACTAATGGACTGGAAACAACTGCTTCTGCCAGCCAAACATCTTCATGTGCATGATTTCCAAAACTTCTACACAGTACCAATTCATTAACAGCTGAAAACCAACTAAAACACACAAAGCCGCATAAATACAAGGTATGAAACAATTACACCGAAATGAATGCACTGACCTGGTAGTGAAAAGTTTCAAAACCAAAGAAATAATTCATTTTAACAGCAACGGAAACAAAAAATGAGGTGAAACGCAACATTTGTGAACAATACGCAACAAGATAAGTCGTGTATAACGGCAGGATAAACGGAACAACAAACGCGTACACGAACAGCTACGCAACTGCAATCCAACATGGCCGACTAACATGGACGAAAATGACCTTCGAGCGTCTCACTCTACCAATGACCTTGATAAGTTACGGATAATTTCAGCCAATAATTTTCTTGGACATTGAGAAAGTTACGCGTTCGACCTTAATCCGACTTTCAAGTTAGCTATACATTATCGCGAATGTTAATCATTCAACACTCACCAGTTGATGCACTATAGCAAAAATGTAAGTTATTATCCAAAAATATATTGTCGACAGTTCTAAATATACTTCTAACGAGACATAGCACACACGATTTTGCAATGATTGTTAGTTACACAATAGCTTATCCCGCTTTAAATTGCAGTGAGAACATATACTAGAGTTCGAATCATGCTGCTGGCTCTGTGTCTATTTTACGAAGTATCTCTTTAGTGTTTACAGGTTCACTTGAAATACTCTGCCTGAATTTCAGTTTGTAGGCTCTACTTAAACACATTTCATCAATGATCATCCACTTATTATATAATAAGTGGATGGTATATATACCGTCCATAAAGTAATGTTTGGCTCCTGCGAAAATTCTAAGCAAAACAGTGCGTGGTTCATCTTTTTATCTGAAGAGTAGATTAGAAGGTTTGTCAGCTATTCAACACTATTCTGTACCAAATGTGTAACACAAGAATCATAAAGCCTAATTGCTGAATCTCTATAAGATTACTGAAATTACTCAGACAGAAGTTAATCACTAAGGATGATCATAATCTCACTGCGAATACTTTGTTTTATCTGTTATTGTACATTTTCGTTTTATCAGTTTAAGACAGCGTATTATTATTCAAAGTTGTTTATATGTTACTTTCTAATGCTCTGACTACTTGGTATGAGTCGAACAGCAGTCAGCCAAGAACTCTCGTGATTTATGAGGTGAACCTGACATTCAAATCTTTGTCAATTCACAATAAAAACGGTGCGGTGTGAAAACCACCTTTCAATGAGGTCTTACTGAAAGGCCTCTCTGGGTTTGTCATCTTAGTTGACTTGTAAATCAGACCATTAATTCAACCCCAGTTGATCTTCAGTTTGAAGTTTTCACTGGGCTGCAGAGAATTGTCATATTAGTGTCGAATATGATTGTTTAAGTGCTGTCACGTATCACATAAATGTAATGAGAAATTCACTTCTAATCACAGTTGTGCCCGATTCCAGATAGCCTGGAGCACAGTAACGAAAGTGGCATTAGTTTTCCCAGTTAGTGTTTTAAATGGAAGGATAACAAGCGTTGTCCGTATAAATAATATCACTTTATAAATCGAGAAAACTTGTCGCCTCGCCCGTCGAGGTTGCTGGCAGAAGGTTCTCATGAGACAGTTTTGAAAGCCTAGGCATTCTCACACTGTTGGGTTCTACATTATTTTCATGTAGTGAGAAACAGTCAAGGTATACATTTGAAGTAGTGTCTACCGGGTTTGAACAGAGTATTAATAAAGCAGAAAGGAAGTTGGCCTTAAGCTGAAAGTATTGTTCTATACTATATTTTACTTAGTTATATTAAGTAACTAACTCCAAGCACATTTTTAATTTGAAAGCCAGTTTTATATTTACTATTACTGCAGAGTTCGAGTTTCACATGGTATGTAAATGCTAACATTGATCAGTTTTCCAATAACAGTAGTCACCACATACCAAATTAGGAATTAAATGATTGCAGCTATTTGAGACGGCATTATTTAGAATTTCAGTTTTAGTCACTTACAATATTTTCAATGGCTTCGAGACACAAGTAGCTGTTGTTTTGGATTCTGGATGCATCAGTTAAATTTACCAGAGTATGTGGATTAACCTTCACCGTAAAATTCAGATAATACAACATCATGCGTGCTACTTCAACCAATAAAATACTTCACAACATCGAGTGTTTATGGGTGAAATATATATTCATCTTCAGACCTTCAGAGAAAATAATTTTTCTAGGTGGGATTCAGAAACAACGATACTCTTTGACTTAATGTGTAGCCGTTTGTGAATATGGCCACCACCAAAATTCTGCTTCTTGGTAGAAAGAGAAGATTTGAGATATAAATACGGTTGACAGTTGCGAAATTCCTACTTTATTCACCCTAAGAGGTTTGATGCAGTATTATCAATTGAGTTATATGTCCAAATGTCGTTTAGTGTTGATGACTTCATCGAAATAACCTCATGCTTCCGTTTGCGTCACACAAATTTTCCATTTATAGTCACTGCTTCTCATAAAGTATGACATTCCAAATGTGAAAGCTCCCTGAGTTTAGCCTTTGTACTAATGCTTACCCTTCTCTTTTACTACTTTAGTCTCGAATACTCATTTTTGAGTAGTATTAGTCAAATTTGTGAAGATTAGGGTTTCGACAGTGTTTTATTGATTAACAACACAGTGCTTCTCTCATTTGCTGCCTATTAACTCCCTTAAATGGTTTTCTGTTTGCCGTTGTTATTTTTACTTCCAGTTAGTTAGATCTGGCAAGTAGGTAACACTAGATTGTGTGATTTGGTGTGGCATCTCTTGTTTACTTCATCATTATTTTCATTCAGGGTTCCTTGTGGAACATGGTGTTTCGACAGCACACCCCTACTTGGTCCTGTTCTCTGAGTTCCTCTTCAGCTGGTCTCACGATCGACCGTACACTCTCACCCCCTCCTCACATGATCTTCTACGTGCCACCACCTATCACCCAACTCATCGTTTCCCACTTGGATTCCACAAGAGTTGTGGTCTATCGATCGAGTGCAGGAGATTTTCAAACCGACTTCAGATTTGTGAATGTCTATCTCAGCTTTCTGAGCATGACTGACTTCGACATCCTCATCTACGGGGCTGGCTGTAGTTGAAACGATAATTCCTAGATAAGTGAAGGAATTGATCTCCTTCAAATTTATTCCCTTGATAGTGGTTGGGGTGCATCTATACAGATTGATTGATTTCAGTTTGCAAATCTAAGACTCACATTGTCAATGAAGGCATAGATGACAGTTTGCGACATGTGATGCGACTTCGCTTTCATAAAATCCTAAAACTATGGGACGAATGCAACCCTTTCTTCTTCATCAAAATGCTACTAACCTAGCATGACTGCAATTCAGTTTAAATCTGTATTTAAAGAAACACGCAGTCATCAGTACTTTTACTTACTTGAAGTGATGTGGAAGTGTCTTCCTTGATCTGAATGAATGTAATGTGTTTTGGTAGAAATCATGAATTTTGCACCTTTGTACAATTATGCTTTTGCGAATGCAATTTATGAATCCTCAAACAGGTATTCTCTGATGTAGATGTAAATCTAAGTTGATAAATTTGAAGGTTGCCACTATATTTTGTAAAGGTGTTTATTAGTGATATATAAGCAACATCTTGAATTTATTATTCAGACGAAAGCCATAGTTTTATTAACATAAGATCGTGTTCTAACATCTATTAACTGAAATGTGCATAAACTTTAACTTCAGACTAACTGACTAAGGTGAAATTCAATTTGGGGAGCTGATCTAAAAATCCGTTATAACAAAAGTCAAATTAACAAACCATGTTCAATACTGTGACTAATTCTTCCAGAAAATGTATGGAATCATTGTACCGAACCAGAGTTTTGAAAACACTAACTAATTCAAATGTTATCAGCTATCGAACTCAAATGAGTTTTAGTTCAGTGGCAGACAAGGAAGTAGGTTTCTATTGAATATCCTTATCAACCATATTTTGAAGGAGTCTTCAACTTTCCTACCTACAAGTAACCAACTCCTGAAAGATACAGATCCAGAAATGTGGGAGCTTATAAATGCAGAAAAACAACGTCAAATGTCATATCTGGAATTGGTTGCTTCTGAGGTAAACACCTAATTCTTTCATACAATATTTAATCAACTTTTGCCCCCTATTTCAAATCTTCATCAAAACTACACATAACCGCACTCTTTGTTTCCTGTCTTACAACAATGTAATAGAATTTCACAAGTCGTGCTGTTTTGGAATGCAGTGGAAGCTGTTTGACTAATAAATATGCTGAAGGTTATCCCAATCAACGGTAGGTTGTTTATCTGTATTTGCACTGTCTTTAATAATTGTATTCATCTAACCTGATTGACAACGCCACTGCTACCACTGAAACTTCAAAGCATAAATCCTGAAAACACATATTTTACTCTGAATGCAAACAATGGAAATACAAGTCAGATTATTACCTAGTTTCTACATGTCAGTATACTTATCGTGAAACAATGAGTTACTGAACAGTTTATAATGACACAGTCAGTAATACAAATCTCTTCGAAGTATCGATTGCCTTACAATTACTGTAATATAGTTGAACTTTAGAAGGATGACATTCTAGCTGACTGATATTGGCATGGAACTTTGGAGAGATAGAAGTGCAGCAGTTTGAGTTCCTAAATGCAGTAGATATTGAACACAAAGGAAGAGAAGAGAGAGGTAAAAACAGTAGGTTCGGAAAAACGACGACAAGCAGAAATATGAAGGATACAGAATAGTGTCACGGGAAAACAATAGGATTTGATAAATATGGAAGGTCCCAAAGAGTGAATTCATCGGTGCCATTGAGAAGGCATTTGAGCCGTATCACCAATAGTTTCCAGCCAGTGGTTCTTTGTATCTCAACAAGTCCAAGTAGGCAGCATACAGATCCCTATTGGGCCTGAGCTAACTTTCAAACATTTCATGGATTGATTACAGGATTTCACGATGAGGTGAGATCAATTAGAGAACCACTGGAATATCTTGGAGTGCTGGACAACCATCTTTTTCTAGTTTGGGACTCATCGGTATTGCCCATCCACTGGGGTTTGATCCAGGCCCTTCTGGATACAAGGCGACTTCTTAGATCATTTAGTCACTGGGGCAGAATCCAATGGTCCATGAATTCTATCTTCTGCCAATCTGTGACGTTAGCACGACTAATAGCCAATGTCATTGGCGAGTATTTGTCTCTACTCATGTCCCAGTGAACCCTAATTTTCATGACGTCTGACTTAAACTCCAAACAAATTCATTCTGCAGCTAGTGACTAACTTCCGTCAGATTAATTTTCAACGGTTAGTTTGTAAAGATTTGATTTGATTCATATTATGACGCGTGGAGAAAACAATTTATTGACGTGAAATTCATTGACTTAGCTTCGTAAGGTGTTTCGCTTACAAGGAGTTATTAAGGAAATCAACGATTTCCTTCTAATAGAGAACAATTATTTTCAGATTTTCATTATCATTCGTGAATTCCTACCCAGCTCGCATGGCAACAGACAGTTTGTTTCCTATTTTTTCAAAATGCATATGATAATTTTATCACTAAGTGGAAATAGTATTATGTATCAATAGCAATGACGTATTAGATAGAATCATAAATGGACCACGCATGTATGTCTCAAACAATTGTCTACAACTTTTAAGTTAACATGTTTCTCAGATTACAAACAAATTTCATGATTGCTGGCAGTTATTTCAGGCAGTTAAGACTAACACTTTTCCTGATGTAATGAAGAATATTTAGCAAAGAATAAGCTTTTTTAGCTTCACTATTTTACTAGCTAGGCTAAATATATCAAAAATTTACTCAAAAACAGTGATCCATTATTGTAAAAGCAGTATTCTGGATAAGCATTTCTTTGTTAAATAACTAGCACAATGTCATGAATACATGCATGAAATTTAGTCATTTCCACTGATGTAATCTGGTGAATTGTAACTAACGGTGGAATCTAGGCAGCACATTTCGCATCCAAATTGAGACTCGTCAGCTTGACGTACCTGCAAGTGATTTGAAATGCCTTCATAAATGGCGTATAAGAGCATTGTATTATTTTATGATTCTTGAGAAGAGATAGGCTAGTGATTGGCTAAACACGTTCGAGTTAAATCTGTATTGCGGTACACCCAGAGTTAGAAAGAAAAAGTTATTATATATATATATATATATATCCTGATTAACTTAAAGTATAGGCAATCTCAAGTGAGTGATAGTGTCCACACTGAGACTCTATTAGACTGAAGGGTCCCGAATAGGACGAAACGCTCATCAGAGATTTCACTAAGAGTCATTATCCACCGACGAACACCATGTCGATTTCCCGATATCGTTGAGGTGTCCGTACTAGAAGCGAACATTTCTAGAGAGACCGAACACCTCAGCACAATATTATCATTCGAATTACTACTAATCCACATCATTATATTTATTTGGTTTTAGTCTACCAAGAGGTGTTTCTGTGATCGACAAAATTGAACAATTGACACAGAAAAGACTATTGGAGTTATTCAAATTGAAACCAATTAATAAATCACTTGATGAAGCTGACTGGGGTGTGAACGTTCAGGTATTCAGTGGATCACCTGCTAATATGGCAGTATATACAGCGTTATTAAAACCAAATGATCGTATAATGGGACTTCGATACATAGATGGAGGTCATCCAACACATGGCTTCTTCAACAATCATAAAAACCTAAGTGCGGCATCAATTTACTTTAATACTATACCGTATTCACTAAATGTAAGTAGAAATAAGTGATTTAAGGTGTTCAGTGCATTTGAACTAAGTTTCCATTCATTCATATTCTCTTTTTGTAAACTGACTTGTCTGATAACCATGCGAATAACGGCCAGCAGTATTTTACTATGTTATTTCTTCATGGATTACTCATGAATATGTGCTTTAATGATGGAGTATTTTCAGAAAAATGCAAGTGAAGAATAAAATACTGTGAAAGTTCAGACTGACAGAAATGTCTATCCTTCGCCTAATCTACTTATTTTCTCGACTAAGTGACTATATACGGTAGCTACATCGAACGACTAATTTACCATTTGTGAAGGCTTCACTAATTTGAGACTGTTCAGCAGTAAGCACACACAACCTGACAGGGGAGCGTATTGACAGCAACTTCAGGTTGCTAAGTCAATGAACTGGCTGAATTGTCGCCGGGTGCCATCGATGGTTGCTGATGGAGAGCCCCAAACTAGGACGGAATGCTGTCCAGTACTCCCTGGTTTTCCAATGGTTCTCTGAATGATGTCAGCTTGCAGTCGATCCTGTAATCAAATAAATACCTGCAATCCAACACCTGATGATAATTGTGACCCCAGACAATTCATAATCTCTCGTGATTTCGACATGAATAAGCAGCTGCAGCAGCAGTAGAGAATTCAAAAACCAGAATGAGGTATAAATATACCTCCACCTGGATCGAAACCACTCAGAGATAGATACATGGCGATGGATTTGACAAGAAACAAATCTATATTCTGTCGGAATACGGGACAAGCACATAGTAGCCTGATTCCAGCAGTTAATTACGCCGAATTCCCACATAGGAATAGACAACGAATATTATAACGCAGTGAGTATATACCTTGGTAGTCTTCAAGACCAGTGAATATATTTGGTTTCACGGAATAATTATGCACACAAATCAACATGTTAACAATATAATGAGCTGTCATCTATGCAATAAGCAGCGGTGAACTAGGGTTAAGTAAAGATTTTCTTGCTTACAGTACATAGTTTCTGAAGGAATTATCTCATTTCATTGTTACCACTGTATTTTGCGAAAATTGATTAAGTTTATTAGTCCTGATCGCACTTCAAATGAACAAACTTCGGAGGCGGATGAGGTTTGAATAGAAATTTCTTTTTCAGACAATGAGGACTGATAACCATCGATAGTACAACTTATCATCGTCTGTTGTCCTCCTAACACTGATCATCACCAATTGTCAGAATTGCGTTCATTCCTCTACCTTCCGAGTGGAACACAGGATTTTAAACGTGAACTTTGAAGTTTCAGGAGGGGTGGTGTTCTTTGACATGGTCGCACTGCCGGCCTCAAGACCAACCTTCTCTCATCACCGATCATGCAACTGACTAGAGGATGTTGAGGACTGTGTTGTCTGAGAATCGAAATCAAACCAAGTGCGTGATTTACAGTATTCAAGCCCTGAACCGACGACTCTCCATATAAGTTAAACTTTTGAAATAATGGGGAGATTTGTGGTCTGTGTGACTGTGTTCTCTGAGCTGGATGGTTTCAGTTTACCAACCTTTCTATAAAGAATTCCGAAAATTCCATGTCACATTGAGGTCATCGCTGTATATGTCGTCTGGAAGGACAAAGAAGTCTTTACAGTCAAACAAACTAAGAGAACACAGTCACGTACCGAGATGAGTTGAACTTATTTATTGGCGGATACTTTCACTAGATATTTCACTTAGATCATTGTCCCAATGAATTTAGAATGAACTAATACTAGAGAGTGGTGTTTTACGTTTCAGTAGGAACTCTCCTAGCAGATACTGGACACCGAAAATCTTAATTCAGTAGAGGTATAGAGAAATCTCATTGATTCTGACCAATCAATGAATCAGTCAGCTCTTTTTGACAGTGTCTAATCAGTATCTGTGGCCACTGAATAGAATTACTCATTATTTGATGGCATTCTATTAGTTGCTTTCAGTCAACACTCTCGATAATTAATTCGTGTATTTACTATTTTCTTCGAATTTTTATTATCACTCATTTGAATTTGTTTATAGCCTGAGACGGAGTACATTGATTATGACATGTTGGAGCGTGATGCTAAGCTAATTAATCCGAAATTAATGATTGCTGGAATATGTACTTATCCAAGATTATTGGATTATGAAAAGTTCCGAAAAGTAATGTATACTATTCCTTCATTCTAATTTATTCCATTTTTTGTGCTTCCTATTTTATGTTTGATCTGAAGCTTCTAATAATACTTGAAATCTGGCTAAATGATTAAATTAAAGTGCGTCAGTTGCCCATCGGTAGGATGCTTGCCAAGTGCGCAGGTGTTTCGTGGTTTGATCACCACCCGACGCACTCCTTTACCTCACCAAGCCAGTAATAAGACTGACAAAGACAGAAGGTTGGGCATGGGGCTAGCAATCCCATCACGTAGAAATAAACACCAATGCTTCTTAAAATTCGAAGGTCTAGCCCAATTTTCCCTGAAATTATAAGGCTCAATCTCTGACTGGGTCATGGATGCGAACTGCTGAGGAGTCTGGAGATAGGAAGGAATAGTTGTCCAGTACTCCATCCATTTTCAGTGATTCTCCAACCGATGCCAGCCAGATACTGAACTGAAAATCAATCAAATCTCTGCAAACTATCACTTGGAAATAAATCATAAGGTGAAATTTGATTTGTTGACAGTCTTTGAATTTCTCCCAGCTAGAAAGTTTAGAGGTAATAATAATATTAATAATAATCGCATATCCAAGAGCTAATTATTCAAAGAAAAACTGATGTACTCGGCATGGTTAAGATTATACAGTTGTTTCTTTTTAAGTCAGACATATGGAAAGTGAATAATTTGTGAATTAGAATTCCGACGAAGTAATATACCAGTGACGCAATCTACATTTCTTCATTAGTAAAACCACTCGTTTGTATATTTGTCAGTCAACCGATTTTTGTGCACCCATGATTGCTTCACAGGTGACTTTTTTAATATTCACCAGCCTACTTGAATTCCTGTCTTCAGTAAGTGTGATTGGTGGTGAAATTAGCAGACTATTCAGTGATGGCATTAACAGACATTTGCCTTGAGATTAAAACTCTTTGTGAACAATTTACTGTCAATATTCGCTTCACCTGAATTCCGAATTTAACATAGAACTACAAGGTATTGAGTTTTGAGTAGTGGCAGCATAGGTTTCGCGAAGTAAGGCGATTAGCCTAATGTTAAACCTCCCCTGTTTTCCGGGCTAACTACTGGCTAGTGATTTAGGAGCGCGACGTTCAGGAATCGCACCCAGACCTTCCTTGTGGCTGTCGAGCATTCTATCGCAGAACCACTGGTCTGCGATTTCCTATCTGTTGGTTAGCAGGGAAACCATTAAAGTCCCATGGGACAGTGTTCTTCTCGTATTGAATAGTGGAAGAACTGATCTACTGACCAGCTTGAAATAAGCTTCTCTTCGCATTTATATCAATAAACCACTTTGGATAATTATTTTCAACAAGCGTCGTTCGGAAGAAGAAAATTACTGTGTCAGTGCCGTCACAACTACAAAAAATTCTAACCCTGTAGGAGCGGGAATAACCAAGACTTATTTTCCTGGAACTGGGCACCTAACTAGATAAATAAGTTGATGTCGACGCCATTTACGTTTTCTATGAAGGTTTCTTATAAGAAATCCTCTATTACTACCTGCGAAGATCACGTTAAGGTAAGCAATCTCTAGTTCGGATTCATTTCCTGATGGTAACGTTTACTGAGACGAATGGTACTTACTGGACGAAAGGAAAATATCATCAGGTGGCAAATTCTTATCGCAAATAACGAATATATAAGAAATGTAAGCAGCTGATGAGCTAAGTATTTTCAAGCTCTGACATAAAATAACAAGTCAGTACTGGAGCTAGTGATGATCCTATCACAATATCCTGTATATCCTGTTGTTGAAACTAAACTTGACGTCAGATTTACATCTGGATAAGAGTTCTTCAAGGCAGTGCGTTGGAAGCTTCACTTCGATATTATGCGAATCAATAGAGTTTCATGTGTAGTAGACGGTTTCTGTGAGAGATACCTAAGTGAATAGTGAGGTCACTTCTGACGAAAACGTTACTTCACGTGAGGCATACACACCTCAGTGCCCTCTACAAATTGAGATGTATCACAGATGGAAAAATTAGATACTGGCCTAACAACTGGTTCCAGTATTTCGTCCAGCCATTGAGCAGTATTGTTTTAGATTGAAGGTTTTTAAACAATTCCTTGCTGACACATTTTACTGGATGTCTGAAGTCGGTTGAATGCGGAATGTTTTTCAGAGCACAAAACATGTTAATTTTCTTTTAGAATGACATTCCAAGTCATTCTAATCTTTCCAAGTAAGCAATTATGCAAACACACATATCAAGATAGTGTTGCGCTAAGATACTGTGGGATCAATGACTACAGTTCCTGGTACTTCTGAACTGAATACTACACTAAGTGGATTGCTGACGCTCTCCATCACAAAGATATGATTGACTTCTATTTCCCCATCACTGATTGACATAGAAGTATAAACTTCTGGTTAACCAAGTCACGTGCTCGTTTCAACACATATCTATGCGTGGTTTATTGCATCTCTATACTTCTTGAATCCTGGAGAGTTTATACTACAACGTCTCCATAAATTTCAGTTTTAACTACATGTGATTATTATTAATTAATTAATTTAATTACTTTTGCGTTCCAAATGGAACCTCGGGCATCAAGCTTCCGCTATGAAGTTTCAGTAGTAGTGATGCTTTTACTGGATGGGGTTGCTAGCCTCACGCCGAACCCACCCTCTTTGTTGTGGTTACAACCGGCTGAGGGATTTAAGGGTTTGTGTCGGCTGACAGTCGAACCCCAGTTCACATCCATTGTTGGCGAGCGTCCTTCTACTGAACCACCGAGGCATTACCCCCATAGAATAAAAAGTTTATTAATTATCAGGATAAGAACTTATTCACTAATTGCTTCCTTTTGTCAACAACTGACGATCATATACTACTTCAGAAAGTATCATCAAGCAACACTGAAAAAGAAACCACAGAAACTACGGAGCTATGTGATATCCAACTTGTCTTCTGTGTAAACTTGTCGGATGAATTTGATTTGAGAGTAATGTGTGCGATTATTCTTCACTTAATATTCATGATAGAAGCATCGATGTTATAAGATTAAGTGTCTTATGGTAGAATAAAGTCTAGTGTAGTCTGTGGATTGATAAGTCTGCTCCACATTCTGAAGTTTAGACACCCAGATGACAACTGATATCTAACATACCTACTAACAAGAGTGTTTTCAGATCTGACCACGGAATGATATCAGTTAGAGACCGTTTTAAAACCAGGGAGTAGCTACTGAACAACTGATTTGTCCTAATTTTAGAATCACCGGCAGTACTCACCCCATCGGGTTTCAAAATGCCGATTGGTCCCTGACTAGGATGAAACAGCTGTTCAGCGAGGAAAGGTTCTCAAACTCTAATCATTCCGTGGTTACACTTGAAACAGATCAGTTTTTCATTCCCTTTCCAATTAACTTATTTGAAAGATTTATTATTATTATTATTATGTACTGACAACGTCCATTTCACGTTTGAAGGCGAACATTTTCGACAAAAGGATGGCGTTGCTATGGGGAGTCCATTAGGACCTTTGTTAGCGGACGTTTACATGTTTTATGTTGAATACTTATCCCTTGATTTAATTTCAAAATTGCCCTTCTATAGGAGATATGTAGATGACGTCATTTTGATATGTGACGATCATGAAGATGCGAGTCGCCTATTAGACAGACTTAACTCTGTACAAAATCATATTAGTCTTAAGTGGGAGGAAGAAAGTCGCAACCAGCTAGCAATTTTAGACATACTTCTGAGTCGGAGAGATGATGGCTCAATAAGACGGTCTATCTACAGAAAGCCCACTTGGAGAGGGCAATACCTTAATTTTCACATCTTCCGTCCATTACAGTATAAGAGAGGCTTGGTGAAGTGTCTATTTAAGAGGATTCAGCGTGTTTGCACGGCTGATTTTATAGACAAAGAAAACGAAATATTAATGGATACTCTTGTCGAAAATGGATATCCGTTAAAATTTTTAAACAGGTGTAGAAGTCAACTAGTATCTAAACCTACAATCCATACCGCCCCTAAGAAAAGGGTTTTCATCAAATTACCATATAACGGTGATTCAAACAGTAGGATTGTGAAGCAAAAGTTGAATTCAATCATCCGTAGAACCTACTATGCAGCCGAGCTTGTAATTGTGGAAAAAGCTAAAAATATGCTTCACTGTAAACCCCAAAAGTGCACAAGTGATTATATCACATCCCACACAATTTACCAATTTTCATGTGTGTGTGGACATACATACATAGGAAGGAGTAATCGCGCTTTGCACGTGAGGGTGGGAGAGCATATCCCAAAATGATTAGGAAAACAGATGAATTGTGACAAGCCAATAGATGCAGGTGTCAGACTACCAACTTCGTCTATAGCTAAACATCTAATCGAGATGAACCATAAAAATGATGTTAACTCATCCTTTAAGGTCATCTATAAAAACGGTCAAGGGCGTTTACTGAAATACGCTGAGGCTATAGCTGTGCATAAACTGTAAGCCCCCCCCCTCCTGTGTATTCAAAAACAGTTTATTATTACTCTTAACCTACCTTGGTAATCCTTATTTGATTGGATTACCAAACGACTGTGTTAATTATTCTTAATTCCTTTTCCTCTCACTTTGTTTTATTTAACCTTTCTATACATATTGACTTGACAAGAAAATGTGTGATCAGATTGTTCGAAATGTATAGCGCTAATACATCACATTTTTCAAATAATTCCGTCTTCTAATAGCACTATCAAGATCAGTTCCGTACAAACTAACTCTTGAAAACATATTTCCATTTGCATCAATAACAAAGTGTGTGTGTGATGAAACGTTTTCCGTTACCTTTCCATTGATGAATCTCTCTTAGTGAACCAACTACAATACTTATTTTTATCATTATTAACTATTACTTATTAGATATGTGATTCTGTTGGAGCTATACTCTTAGCAGATATGGCGCATATTTCTGGTTTAGTCGCCGCTGAAACACTTCCATCACCATTCATGCATGCTGATGTTGTGAGTTCAACGACGCATAAGACATTACGTGGTCCGAGGTCTGGTTTAATATTCTATCGTCGTAAACCACGTTCAACTAAACAACACCAATGTGCATATCAAACTATACCAGTTGAAGAATATGAAAAGCGTATCAATGAAGCTGTATTCCCAGGTTTACAAAGTGGTCCACATGAAAATACAATTGCAGGTGTTGGTTCAATGGCTAAAGAGGTAAGTTATTTTCTTAAAACACTTTTTACTCATTAAAGGAAGTCTGTTTTATTTTCTACTATATGACTATCTGAGGATTATGCTGGCTGCTTACTTGTTTGACATTGTTGACAAGTCGATAGAATATTATTATCCCTTTGGGTTCCAAATGGAATAGAGGGACCTGACAGCATATCGGTGGTTCATTCTCTTCTATGCAGATCTCCTTAGTTGGTTCAACGATTGTCCATAAGCTTTCATTTATTCTTCATATGATATCCTCAGTGCCTTACTCAAAGGTTCGTTCACTACATTTCCTCAAGCATATTTGTGAGGCTACAGGTTCTTGGTTGGTTTGTTTCCAGGTGACATATTAATTATCTTACCTGACCATCCACTCTGCAGTACGGGGCGAAGAAAGCTGTTAATGGAGGTCTGTAGGCTGCTGGAAATATTCTCCGTGATACAAGCCACATGTCTCTGAACCTTACAGAATCACGGATTTGAAATTTGTGTTAACATCCTGATTTCAACACTGATCTCAGTGTAAAAATTATCCTTCTTGTTTTTTCGATCGTGCCTTTGACACCTTTATGTGTGCCAGTTGTAGTTGAAACGATTCTGTCTAGATAAGTGGATAGGATGACTTTTTGTAGTTTTCTTCCGCTGATAGTGATCAGCGCCTGTTGTTGTCGTTGGTGCTGGTTAGATGTCTTCACCATTTTTGTCTTCTTTGTGTTCACTTCAAGTTCTGCCTTTGCCACCTCATTCTTTTGTTAACTTGTCGGTTTGCTTCTGTAGATTGTCGCGTTTATCTGACACTATACATAAGTAATCTACGAATTTCTCATCTTCCAGTATTTATGCTTCAGTGTAGTGTGTCATTCAGCAGATAGATAGTATAACCTAAATTTTATGGTTATACTATGATATTCCTATATTAACTGAATGAATTTTAGTGTTTCACTGTCAAATTAAAGACTGAGTATTGATAATATAACTGCTTTTTAGATTATCATTATGCCCCAAAGAATGTTGAGTATTTAAAGTTGTGAGACGAAGATTATACATGAGAGTTCAGCATTTTCAACTCACAAGTATTAATTTACGTCGATATGATTGGCTTTAAATTGGCATGTAAGCTGACGTCAGTTACAGAACCACGGAAAATCAGCAGTTCCTCAACAGTTGTTTAGTACTAGTATGCGACACCCGAGCAGTAGTCATCTGTATCAGATTTGTCGTCTGACCTAGCAATTGTAATTAACAAAGCAATTGGTATCGCTAACCTATTCACTGACAGCGGCCAGTGTTCTAGAACTACCTAGTCGATGATCCTACCCAGTAAGCTAATGAAGAATAGTCACTGGGCGATGTGCAGGACGTGTACTTCAACAAATCATTGCAGGTCTGTGATAAAAACAGGCCTTCCTACAAAGATAATGACTAGCCATTTGATGGTGTGACTAGTAGTCATGATTAGCACAAAAGAAACCTTTACTGGTCCATTTCCAAACTAGGTGTTAGATACACTAACCAATATACTGGATGTTTCACCAGAGAAGAAACCGAAAACACACCCTCCTCTTCCCTATTATAGTAGGATTTTATTTCGTTTACTCCATTATCACTGTATAATACACTTGAGGTGGAAAAAAGGAGAAGAATATTTCTAAAGACTTTTTCGATGTTCTACATGCTGAGAGAAATCTGTTGGTCAAATCTGGTGTTTTTGATTTTAGCAATTTGATTAAACCTTATCACATGACCTCACAAATAATCGACTGTTTTCTTTGCCATCATTCCTCACTCTTCTTGTTATTTAGGCAGCTACAGATAACTTTCGGCGTTATGCTCAACAAGTTCTGAGTAATTCACAGACACTTGCACAATGTTTACTATCTAAAGGCATTGCTTTGGTCACTGGTGGGACAGATATTCACTTCGTTGTTGTGGATTTAAGTAAATCACCAAGTCAGCGGGGATTGGGTCGCGGTGATGCTTCACTGGTACAAATTATAGCTGATATGGTAGGCATATCACTTAGTGCTGTGTGTGTACCATCAGATGAAAATATTAGTCGACCATCTGGTTTGAGAATAGGTCAGTTTGAAGATTTTATTTCCTACTGGAATAATTTTAATAAAATGATAAATGCTGTATGTGAATACTTGTTAAAGGTATCATAATTACAGTATGATGATGCTTCGTAAGAATACCTAATGATGCATTTCTCACAGTTCAATACGGAGTAGCGAGCGTCTTATTCTCTTGTCTTTCATTCTAAATAAATCGCATCAGTCAATTTGAATTTAGATCGCGAAGTTAAGGCACATTACACTATAAAGAATTTCGCATTGACTGTTACGACCAAAACTGACAGAATGCCGTTTAGATGCAGGAAACCGATCTCTCCGTCATACTGTATTGCTGTTCGAAACTTCTCTGAGACACTCAAGGTGATGAAACACTCAAATTACGGCAAAATGATGGATACTCATCGACAGATGTATGTAGTTCTATACAAAAAGACTCTCATCAAATCTCACAGACAGACAAAGAAAGTCTAAAGATACAAAAAGAGTACGGCAGGACAAAATCAGTCAACCAAAATTCAACGTAATTTCCTACCTGAGAATCAGGTACAATATTCCAAACAAGGTGGGATCAAACACTTCATCCACGAGAATCACACACCAACTCCAACCACACACAGTCCAATGTTAGAATCAGCCCTGATTCACTCAAACAAAATCACTTCGTAAAACAACACATCATTGATGCATCTCAACAACTGCAAAGAGAAGCATTGAAATGTGATATTGAACAGGGAAAAAGACAAATAATGAGTGTCAAGTCAACACACGATATGTGAATGTCAATATAGTGATTGATACACAACCTAGGAGTGAAACGGATAATAACTGTACAGTTACTTGAAGCATTCAGACGAGAATAAATATTGTGATTAGATAGTTCAGGAGGGGTATTTCAAACAACCATTCCATCGTATTGATTCTGATTGTTTGGCGTTACTATTTCTGTGAATTATACTCAGATTCAGTTTTCAGCTGCATGGATGATACCTTCATCATATGTGACGACAATACTGACGTCGAATTGATAACTAATGAGTTCAACAGCTGCCATCATGCCATCAAATTCACGTCGGAATCAGAGATTAACTCGGAATTCCACTTTTTGGATGTTTTTCTAAAGAGGAGATCTGATGGCTCTCTTCAAAGATCGATCTACAGGAAACCAACATGGAATGGTCAGTACACAAATTTCCATAGCTGGGTCCCTTTAAGAAGAAAGAGAAATTTGATCCATTCCCTATCCTCAAGAATAAGGAGGATATGTTCAAGTGATACAATCGATGGGGAATTGGAGCGACTCAGACAAGTTCTCTTAGAGAATGGATATCCTCCAAGATTCATCGAGAAAAACATGAAGCTAAGAGAAAAGCCCGAAAGAATTCAGACTGTGCCGAAGAAACCGCTCTTTATGAGCGTTGAATTTAAAGGTGATACTGCAGCTGAGATCCTGAAGAATCGCTTACGCAGATCACTGAGGAAAGCCTTCTTTATGGCTGAGCTACGTATCAATTTCTACAGCCGACGAATGATCAACGGATGTGTAAAGGATAAGCTGCCGCTTTGGGCCACCTCAATGTGTGTTTATAAATTCACATGCTCGTGTGGAGCAAGTTATATTGGCCGCACAAAGCGCACGCTTTCCAAACGCATCTCTGAACATTATCCGGCATGGTTAGCAAAGGGACAATGCAAGACAATTACTAGCTCAATTCTCGAGCATTTGGTGAACTCAGGCCACGTAGCTCCACCAGAGTCGTCTTTCAACATCATCTACAAAGTGAAGCCAAATTGTACAAAAGGCGTCAGGTTCCGGCTTTTGTGTATGGCGGAGGCGCTGGCAATACATCAATACAACCCTGATCTCTGTATACAGAAAAAGTTTGTCCAGTCTCTTATTCTACCTTGGTCTTAACCTCTTCACTTATCCTTCCCTGTTAAAAAATATTTTTGATTTTGTTCTTAATCTTTAATTTTACTTTTAGTTTGCTTTTGCTTTAATAATTAATTCACTATTATCAATTTCATATATTTTCACACCTTCTTCACACTTGTTAAATTGACACTCTAATAACTTTATTCTCACTCAAGAGCAATTTTAACCTTTTCTAACTTCTATCTTTGTTCCGTCAAGTACCATGTAATTTACAACTTTTAATTTTCACCTCTAAAGCCACTTATGATTAATTACAGCAATTATGTCACCCCCTATTATTCAATAATAGACCACCATACATTCTTCTAAGTATAAATACGACTGTACAGCCTCTGAAGATGATTTCGTCGATAAAGAAAATTTTCTTCGCTGAATCCGTCTTTTATTTTCTTCATGACTCAATGGGTATTTTCCGTGATTTCAGCTGCATGATTCTTTCAAACATTGCTCCAGTCCGTCTCACACTTACCCAGATTCACATGACACAAATCGTCATACTCACCCACATTGTAACTTCAGAAATATTTATGCATGATTCCTTGAGAGAATTAAAATCAGAATGGGACAGCATTGGGATTCATTTCTCCTAAACGAACGGTATATCAGAACCTCAACCCTAATGCAGATCGATGTTCATATCTGTGGATTTCTATCGGTACACGTTAACCTGTCACAACATTGTTTCTTACATTGTAAATCAGTGATTAATTAGTTATGTAAAATAACTAACATAAGTAGTTGTAGTTCCCAGTGGTATTCCATTTTTACAAGAAAAAATAACTATTTATCTTCCATGTCATCTCTTGTCGTTATTTGGAATTGTATTACTCACTGAACAAATCACAGGAAACCGAACAACAGCAAAGTGAGGGTGATATCTGGGAATTTGTACTTGACAGGATTAATGTTTTTGTAATATTTTGATAAGAAATATTAACAAACAATAGTATGCATTGAAACAATGCAGTAATCGAAATTGTCCATCACAGCATCAGCCTTTTCTGTTTGCTTAGTGTTGAAATAGCATTCGACTGATTAGCAGTATGTGGTATTCTGGGGTTGAAATCCTAGTTAAAATCTCACATTTACTCATTATTCCTTGAGAGAATTTTGTCCGTGGTTCATGGACAGAACGCCCGACAACCATTCATTTTCATGGTCCGCATCCATGCCTAACCGCTCAATTACCATCCAGGTTCCATTTGATATCTCTCCTGGCATGTGATATCAATCAACGGTCTACTCAGTATATGCATGATTCATGCATAGTTTCTTTTGCACATTTGTTGCACGATAGGTTCTCAGTTGGTTTGTAGCACTGTCAGAGTTTCTCGTTACTTATCCTTTCCAGTCGGCTATCTCATCTTCTGTATCCATTGGATACTGAGACAAGTTGTTCGAAATGCTAGTAGTGACACAACTGCCAAGTCTCTGAGGCGCATAGAATCACCGACTTGACATTATTGTAGAAGATCTGGGCCTTGACTGCTGGTGTTGCGTTCGACTGTTTCTCACATTGACATCACAAAACTGATCCCTACCTTGCCTCTGATATCATGCAAATGCTTAAATTATGCTCACTGTTCATTCTCAAGTTGGAAAATAATTTGACAATGAAGTAGCATAACTTACTGAAGTGGCTTTTCGTAGGATAGATTCATTTTAATTTGAAAGTAATGTAACTTTTGCATTCTTCTGATACAGCATTATTTTCTCTTCGTAATAGGGATTTCTGGGATTCAATATTTCATTATTTCCTTTGTCATATATATATATATATATATATATATATATATCATGCGTTCCAAGTAGAACATAGGGCTTCGAGCTTGAAGATTTTGAAGCAGGAGTTTTATATTTAGGGGTTGGATTTGATAGCGTCAGTCCTCTACCTCCCCCTCTCCCTTTACCGGCCTATCACCATTTGATAAGCTAGGCGAAGTTTAGGAGTACATCAGACAGCCAGTGCATCACACTCTTAAACCACCGATGCACCACCGATATATATATATATATATATATATATATATATCTGAATTACCACAGACCACAATGTGCAATGAGGCGAATACACAAATTCATCAAAGTAATGTACACTGAAAATTCGAAGTGTACTGATTTCTGATAATAATTTTGCATACTGTGGAAGTAGCACACTAATTTTCTCGGTAGTATTCTTACCCGTTGAATGCATAAATTCTATCCACTGCGAGATGGTGGCATTCTGGTTATTCCTATACTTCGGAATGTAACTCACCACAACACAATTTCGTCTTGCACTTTACCATTCCTCTGGTTTATTTATACCTTGTCTATAGGCACGCCAGCTCTGACATCACGAGGTTTCTTAAACAAAGACTTTGAAAATGTCGCCAATTTAATTGAAGAAGTTTTGAAACTTACATCTGATGCGAAGAGAGTCACGGGTGAGTTAATAATCTTCATGAATAATACATGTGAATAATTCTAATGAGAATACCTGTTTGGCTCACCACTGTTTTCAATCCTCACCTGAGTTGTAAACGATAAGGATCAGGTTGTGTTTGCTTTACTCGTCTACGAATCGATTCACTCAGTTGTTATAATGAAGACGTGAACACTGTCTCACCCAGTTCGAATTCAAAGGGACATAATTCTCGAATGCTAACAGTTCCATACACATAATACCATCGACATTCAGTGTTATGGACAACATGTTACAGACTTGTTGTTGGATGCAATTACTGGTTGGCGATAAATGACCACGAGTGGGGCTATAATATCTGACTGGTGCTTCTTGATTTTCTACGGTTGTCTAAATGATTCCAATCCATGATAAATATTAAGTTTATAAACGTTAGCTTACATCTATTTAAAACCCTAACCGCGAATAAGTCATGTTGTTTTGACAATAGTATTCTCAATAACATGCGACATAAAAACGATAAACACCCCCTGTACTAGCAATAATAATTCCTAGTTCTTTGATTTTCAAGTGTCAGCAGGTGAAATCAGTTAGTGAACTACTGAAAACCAAACATGACTGGACCACCGAAGCATCTATCCCTGACGCCACCAGGGATTAAATCCACGACACTTACGTTACGCTGATTCCGCGTAACCATTCACTTACTAGGTGGAAATCCAGTAGTATATAAATTCTAACTTCTACAAATCCTCGTATATAACACCTCTGCAAGTCAGTGTCATTGGTTTTTATCTTGACTCATGGCCGAATGTTTTAGCTCCAGTGGTGGTTAAAACGTCAGCGTTTCTGATTTACCGATAGAACACCTAACAGCACGTGGACTTGGATTTTAATAAACAATAATAAAAGAACAGTGTAGTAACATCAAGTCATACATGAAAAGCATCACGAATTAACAAGTATATAAAATGTATGGCATTTCGTATCTACACGTTTTACATGAATAATCAGTAGAAAATTCTACAAGTGATTTTAAAGTACTAATACAAGAAGACTTATTCTTTTAAATATTAAGGAAACTTGACACATTGATGGCGATCTATTGAAATGAATAAAAGTGTATACAATAATGAAAAGGAAATTGAAAAACATAGATGTTAATTCCAAAAGTTAAATCGCACAACATGGCGGCTGAAAATCCATACGGAAATTAAAAGTCAATCTGAACGAAGAATATTCTCTTCAGGTTCTTACAATTATAAAATATAATGTATTTGTTGTCGTTAAAATAAAGGCCAGTTATACGGCGGATACATTTTAACGTAGAATAATAAATAACGTAGAATAACATATTAGTTATGGGGTGTCAAAATAAATAGTTGTATTTGTGTGACAAACGTGCTAGGCTGAAATCGATTACCAAAATATTGTAAAACGGGAGACAGTGGTGGTGATTAATCATAATAGATTTGTAGAGTGTGGGTAGGAAAATTGACAAGTCAGTTCAATGTTACAAAAGGTATCAGGTGAGTGGCTAGTACAAAGTGGTCTGTGTTAAACAGGAGATAGTAAGACTGCAATGAGAGGTCAATAATGAAATAACGAATATGTGAAATGAAACAGGTGGAGGCATATATTGAGAAAAGAGATAATGTAACTAATAATAAGTCCGGATAGTATTAATGAAAAATTTGATAGTAGTGAGGGCATGTTTGCATTAAGGGCATAAATTATGACGAATAATAATAATCATAATTGTAATAATAATAATATTTGTAATAATAAGCAAAGGAAATAAACCAAGAAAAAACCAAGAGGATTAAGGGGAAGGAGCACTCTTGGTGAGAAGAAGAATCATCAATCCAAGTTTGACCACGGTAGGAACAGCGTCTGGACGTGTTATTTTGGATACAAAGTTCCGGTTTAGTTGATCTTATTGCAACAACTTGAGCTGTGTAGGAGACGTAAGAAAACTGTACATGATAACGACTTCGAAATACGGTATATAATCCAGAAGGCTGTGTTGACATCGATACGATGTCCAGTATCGATCAAGTGTGACAGGATCGAACTTTTTACACACTTAATTTCCCCCTGCTGAACCAAGCTGGTAAATGTTGTCGAACCCGTAGACGAACCTGCCTAATCGTGCGCCTAATATAACTTAAACCACAGGAACAGTTGAAATGGTATATGTATGAAGAAGAGCTAAGGTTAGGTAAGACATCTTTGAGTTGCTGGGTGAACATTGGACGGCTGCTGATGGATAGACACAGACGTGCAGAGTAGAAGGTTTTCTTGGTCGCCCTGGTTAAACGTTGCGATAGAATCTCCGCAGGAGTATCTCCCTTGATTTAGAGACGTAAAAACACTAGGCCAGTGACATGGATTTCACCTGACAAATGCATCACAAACCAGATAGACTTCATCTCAATCCTGATGAAGGAAGTGGAGACGCAGCCAGTCTGCCGGACACAAAGTGGAGAAGGGGAGCAGTTGTGGATTCGCACTATCATTTGGTTCTCGCAACCTTCAAGGTGAAGCTGAAATCCTTCGGAACAACTGGAGACAGGTCACAATTCAAGTTCAACATTCAGAAACTTAAAGACAAAACTACAAGGGACACCATCACCACGGATCTGATCAGAGAATAGTCGGAGATACTATGCGGTATCACTGAGGAAACCTGCATGGAGGAACAATGGATTTAACTCTCTGGAGGTGATGTTCAAAAACATGTGAACAACTGTTCTGGGAGTAAGAAGAAACAAGACAAATAATGAGTCTTTACAGATACCTGGAAGGATGGTGAAAGAGATGACTCAATGCAAATATGCACAACAGAAGGAGAAGGTGAGTTTAATGTACATTTCACTGAATAAATAAGTAAAATACTAGAAAATACAAAAGGCAATTCTTCGACGCACTGGGAATTGAAGCAGAAGGGACAGGCCACAGACAAAAAAGAGACCTCAGAACATTATATCAGATAATCAGGTCACCCGGGAAAAGATAAACGCAGATGAAAACAATAAAAGATTTTCAAGGGAACCTGATTACCACGGAGGACAAACAAACAAAACAATGGGCTGATCACTTCAAAAGAGTCTTGAATCGACCATCCCCTTCAACTCTCTCAGAAATACCACCACCAACAAAAGATGGCAAAGAAGTGCCAGTGGACTCCAATCCTCCAACAAAAGAAGAAATCCTGAATGCCATCATGCTACTAAAGTCCAGTCGTGAGGCCTCAGGAATACACGGAATAACCAACAACCCGAGGGGATTCCATCATTCAATGGCACAATAATGCTACATTAATTGAACAAACGGAAATATTTACGTTACGACAAAACTTGTTCAAAATCTCAAGATGACATTAGTAAGTATTAGCATGAAATAAGCATTTAGCTTTCGCTGTTTATTTTCATCCCTGTCATTTCTATTTTCCAAATAGATGACATTCAAAAATCTCACTGGCCGTCAAAGAAAGTCCACATCTGAGATTTCGAATCCAACAACTACGCCAGTCAGTATCAGATTTAGCTTTGAGCTTCCCGATGCCTGGTCATTATGATATATGAGTAAAACAAAATACAAAGTGTATACGGAAAGCGTTTTCTTCTTCTCTAATGAGCACGATCCTAATTTAATAAAACACACTAAAAATCAATTAGTTGGCATACATTTTACTGTGTCAACTTGCGATTCTAATTATACGCGTTACATAGAACACATCGGTAAGAAATGGTGAGACTGAGAGTAAGGTGCTACGAAAGAGAAGTAAATCAGTCACTAAAGTTGTGAAGCAGCACGCGGTGAGGTGTCGTGAATATGTGTTTACACATACAGAGTCATCTCCTTCCTTTACAAGCAATGTCGCTGCACTACCTTTCAAAACACTCCGCCGTGGACAGAGCGAATGACAACATCAATCCATGAAGTGAGTGACTTTTGGTCGCAGTGACGTCAGTAGATTAATCTTTCTTGATTAGCAATCACACAATGCTAAGAATCAATGGTTTCAGACACTTTACGACATAGCTGGTAATCATATACCTCTGACCATCTTCAAGACTTTGAAAATCTTTGAACACAAAGCCTGTAACATTTGGAAGTGACCAAGTAGTTCGTTCGACTAATATATATTCACTTTACACTTGTCCTATTTATATTGCACCTAATTGTAGTTTCGTACCGTAATGGTATAATACTGAGAGTTTCTCTTCATCGGGTTTCGTGAGATTCTGACAACATTCGAACCTAGGAGACAACTGTGAAGCACACACGCAACATAGAACTATATATCACCGGTTGGTTGAGATAAGTAGTTGTATGCTACTCACATCAACCAGTAGTACTTGCTAAGCAGATCGAAGGGGTCGAAACAACTGATTGTCACTTCGCTCGTTTCAGGTCGAGCTTATCAGTGGAGTATCCAGTTTGAATGAGCTCAGAGTGAAGAATCAGTTCAGACTCCCTCATTTGTGACTAGGAACTTGGGAGAACTGGCTGTCTCATAAACCAAATTCACAATTTGCAGAGAGTTATATGCAATTTAAACAATTTGAGGTGAGATCTCTTCACAGTTCAATTTGGAAACGAAAATTATTCAGATTAAAGTATGTGATCTACTTGATATCATGGGTAGTAGTCAAGGTAGCTGGCATAAATGTGTACAAGTGTGTACCAATGATCGACTGAGATGAATGGTTGTACACAACTCAAGTGGACCACATATTTTGATCTGAATAATTCTGGTTTCAAAGGAAGCTGTGGTGAAATCTCACCTCAAACCGTGTGAATTACGAATTGTGATTTTCATTAACAGACATACAACACTCTGTAAAATATGGTAATCGCTCAAATAACATGTCAGTCACCGAAGCATACACGACTGTATACACCTAACGACAAATAATGTCTTGCTTTTGACCACAACCGTTTTCATGATGGAGAACAATCCAAAAGCTCCCGTTTTCATTGTGCCACTGATCCTCAGGCTATAGAGTAATGTACAGGCGAAAAATGAGTACAGACGAAACCGAAGTATCATATCAGAGGTTTCCTTGAGAAAAACGCATGTCCTAAATTCTATGTGTTATGACTTCTCTGCTGAGGAGAATTAGTAGCAGAGAATATGCGTTTCATGTTACCCAAGGATGTTAAGTGGATATTTAAATAACAGTGAGAACGTTTCACTGAGGTATTAAAAGCTGAATAATATGCAGCAGTGCGGAGCGCATATATATATATATATATAATATAAATTTTTAAAACTAAAAGTAATACTCCTTTCTATGAACACACCTTGCTGACTATGTATTCAAAGCAAACGTTCGCCAGTCTGTTATAAAGAGTGTATTACTAATCAACTTGCAAAGTGATTGGAGTGGAGATGTACGTACTTGGAATCACCTTTGCACCTTGACTTAGTCATCTTGAATCTAAGGTCTCTGTTAATTAGTTAATTTAGAAAACTAAAAGTAACGAGAAAATTGTTTGGAAAACCTCTCCTGAACCATCTAATCACAATATTTATACTGATCTAGATGTTTCAAGTAAC